TCATTTTTTAGTTAATTGCCCTTAATTTATTCAGCTTAAATACCTTATAGTTTTCCATGATTAAAGGGCATGATGTTGGACTTGTCATTGAATTAGTGTGATATAGATATAAATGAGCTATAAAGTATCTCCATGATTGCTTCCTGAATAATATAAACCTATTTTCTTTTGTTACTTGCTCAATAAAGAATGAAATATACCTGATCTTTGAGTTTTGAAGCAAATCTTCTGCAGTTTAAAAATGAAGGGAAGATGGAATTAATCAGCAAGGAACGTATTTCCGCAAAGACATTAAAACTTCCACTGGTAATGAAGTTTGCTTATTGTGCTGCAGAATGAATAACAGTAGAAGTTTCTAGCTCTGTCTTAGACCCGGCAGAAATAAATGTCCACCAAGACAAATGAAAACCAGCTAGACAAACAGACGTCCAGCCCTTACCCCTGTGTTGAACAGAGTGGTCAAATCTACAGGATTGCATTTAACAAATCTACTACCTTGTACAAAAGTCTACATTAAATATATATGTATACAGAGCCCCTGGCTGGTGCAAACAGTTAAGCATTTGACTACTAGCCGAAAGGTTGGCGGTTCAAACACACCCAGAAGTGCCTTGGAAGAAAGACCTGGTGATCTGCTTCCAAAAGGTCACAGTCTTGAAAACTTACAAAGCAGTTCTACTCTGACACACATGGGGTGATTACGAGTCAGAGAACAGACTCAACTGAAACTAATAACGGCCACAAACATATATAGATGTGTATACATGAAGTAAATTTTACTGTAAGCTTATTTAAAAAAAGAAAAATATTTGTGTTAGGCATGTCTCCGATAAAAACTTTTATTTTTAATAAAATTTTCTCCATAGTCTTGAGCCTTATTGGAACCTATAAGAAACACGCAATTCAACAGTTAGAAGTTGTAAGTAATAGTTTTTTCCCCTATGAAACAAGAAAAACATAAGGAAAGAACAGTTGGTAGCCTCTAAATTTGATACGTTTTGTCCCTGAAAACACTCAGTGAGACATTCTCAATTCCTTTCTTTGAGTGGATTCTTCATGCTTTCAGGAGATCAGAAAATCGCCTTTTGGAAAATACATCTCGAATTTCAACCTTAGGAGCCCTGGTGGTGTGACAGTTAAGTGCTCGGCTGCTAACAGAAAGGTTGGTGTTTGAACCCACTCGGCTGCTCTGCTGGAGAAAGACCTGGCAATCTGCTCCTGTAAAGATTACAGCCTAGAAAACCCTATGGGGCAGTTCTACTCTGTCACGTGGGGTCACTAAGAGTCAAAAATCGACTCAATGGCACCCAAAAGCAAGAACATAGATCTGAATCCCCTTTCTTCCTGGAATCCTTTCTCCCTTTATTTCTGGCCATGTCCCTGTAACTTTTAAATGGCTGTGGATCTTTTTTATGGTGCTTCCTGGTTCCTTTAACATATCTTGGCACAGAGAATCTGAGACAGCACTGTCCAATGGAAATAGAATGTGAGCCACGTGGGTAATTTCAGATCTTCTGGCAGCCATATTAAAAAACAAAGTAAAAAGAAACAGGTGGACTTAATTTTAGTAGTATATTTTATTAAATACACTATATCCCTCTTATTATCATTTCAGAAACCCTGGTGGTGTAGTGGTTAAGCGCTACAGCTGCTAACCAGAAGGTCGGCAGTTCGAATCCACCAGGTGTTCCTTGGAAACCCTAGGGGGCAGTTCTACTCTGTCCTATAGGGTTGCTATGAGTCAGAATCGACTCAATGGCAATGGGTTTTTGTATTATCATTTCAACATGTAATCATGATAAAAATCAGTGAGCTGTTATGCATGTTTTTCTTGCTAAGTCTTTGAAATCTGGTGTGTTTGGTACATTAACAGCACATCTCAACTCAACCTAACCACATTTCACAAATTCAAAAGTCACACGCAGCTTGTGGCTGCCTTATTGGACAGCGCGGCTCTAAGAGAAATAGCAAGGGCACTAAAGTTGACATGGGGGCAGTGGTGGTTCGGTGCTAGAATTCTCGCTTCCCTTGCCGGAGACCCGGGTTTGATTTCTGGCCAATGTACTACATACGCAGCCACTACCCATCAGTCAGTGGAGGCTTGTGTGTCGCTATGATGCTGAACAGGGTTCAGCAGAGCTTCCAGACTAAGGTGGACTAGGAAGAAAGGCCTGGTGATCTACTTCCACAAATCAGCCAGTGAAGACTCTCCGGATCACAACAGTCCTATATGCAACCAGTTAGGGGAATGGCGCAGGAATGGACAGCGTTTTGTTCCTTTGTGCATGGGGTCACCATGAGTAGGGACCGACTAGTCGGCAGCTAACAACAGCAGAACTGACATTCGCAAACCTAAGGGCTTGTCATTGCCTCCCTCAACCACCTAGCATATGTTATCCAAGGCACTTAACCTATAAATTTTTAATCCTTAAAAGAAACAGGTCAGGGGAGATGATCATAAATGGTTGTTTTCACTCTAAGGCTATGGTGCCGTTATCATAATGAAGAAACTTCTATTTTTCTGGCTTCGCCAGGGTTGCTCTGAAGAACAATGCTACCCATGGTTAAGTAAATAACACCTGTGCTGGGGGCCTCTGTGGAGCAGCTACACAGGCTTGTCCTGCAAGAAGCAGGGAGCTTGCAAATCACAGCCTGCAACTGGCTGGCTGGCCCTGTGGATATTTTTATTTGACTTTCATATTTGTAGTCACTGTTTTTAAAATTTCGTTTTAATTTTTAATAGCATCGTAATCAATATGGTCTGTCTCTCCAAGTGCACGTATAAAGGTTTCTCACTGAGTCCAGTTTCAACAGTCCTGGTTGTCACTCTCTTAGCATATCTCCCGAGGATTTTAAAGCACATTTTTGCATGTCATATAGTGTGTATTTTAAGTGAGACCATCTCAAATATATCTTCCAAATTTTGAAAATTTAGGCATTTTCGGATGACTGTGTTGGATTCTGAAACTTAACTGGACTTATGTAGATATTAACTATACTGCATGTTCTTCATATCTGGACATCATGCCAACTTCCCCCCCCCAAAAAAAAACAAAATCTAAAAAAACAGTGGCCGTTGAGTGTGAAGTCAGTTCTGACTCAGGGCAGCCCCATGTGCATCAGAGTGGAACTGTGCTCCATAAGGTTATCAGTGGCTGAGTTTTCAGAAGCAGATCACCTGACCTTTCTTCCAAGGTATCTCTAGGTGGACTTGAACAGCCAACCTTTCCGTTAACTGTCTGCATCACCCAGAGACTCCAACTTGCAAATTCATTGTCGTTATTTGTTGCTGTTGAGTCGACTCAGACTCATGGTGACCCCATGTGTGCAGAGTAGAATGCTCCATAGGGTTTTCAAGATTGTTACCATTTGGAAGCAGATTGTCAGGCCTGTCTTCCTAGGCTCCTCTGGCTGGGTTAGAAGCCCTAACCTTTTGGCTATCTGTTGAGCACTTCACCATTTGCACCACCCAGGGACTCCTATTCAACTTGCAAGTAGCCATTGGGAATTCAGCTATTACAAAATTCCACAAATAATGTGAATGTTATCTTGCTAATTACATTAATCAATTATTTCATTTAGTCTTCAATGAGGAAATGGAGACTTAGAAAGATTTTATAAATTGCTCAAGATCTTCCAGTCATTTACTGGTGAAGCTAGAACTTGAACTGAGATTTTCTTTCTGACCTAATAGAAGACTTTCTTCGCCAGCTGTGTTATTCTACATCCTGGTACTTACCGCTCGGCTGATTCAGGCCAGTGGATGGCCAGACTAAAGCTCATTCATCAAGGTGAGTGGTGTTCCATGCTAGCTGTATACTAGAATCACTTGGGGAATGTTTGAAAAATACAAATGTCCTGGCCCCATCCAGATCTGCTGAATGAGAATCTGTAAGGTTCCTTTCATCTGGGGCGAAATCTGGAGCCAAGTATTATTTCAAAACTCCAGATATTCTAAGGTTGTAAAACAGAGTAGAGAACTACTGTTTTAGTCAAAGGTAGAACTTCTAGAAATGAAACCTTAGCCTTAGGAATGGGTATTTCAGTTCTGCTCATTAAATTTATGGGTCTCCACAGGTAAAGGGATCTAGAAGACAAAAATTCTTGTGTGAATATGGGTGTGTGCCAAATACATTACCTTTTTATAAAAAAACCTAGAAGTGGGTGGATTGTGTGTGTGTGTGTTTCCTTTTTTCTAAATTTCAGTTTATTTTTCTTTGGCATTTGTTTTATCGATAGGGACATAACCAGGCAATCTCAGATACTTGTTGGTAACTCTATGCTTAATTCTATTCCAATATTTCCATCACTCTTTCTAAGCAAGTTCTCAGTAATTGCTTCTCAGCCTTAATTAGGAAATACATTTCTTATGAGTCACTGAAAATCTGACTAAAGTATAATTTTTAATAAATTTAGGGTCCATTTTTTCTCAAGTAACAAGAAGTATGGGGGGTAGGGACTCAGGTCCTTTTTATCTTTACACTTAGCCTCATACTTCTTGTCTCAGGATCACCAGAAGACCCCTCTCCACCCCAGAATTGTGTCCATATTCCTGACTGACACAAAGGTAAGGCTGAGGATATAGTTCCCTTTAGGAGTTCCTGGGTGATACAAATAGTTGAGAGATCAATTACTAACTGAAAGGTTGGTGGTTCAAACCCACCCAGAGGCACCTCTGAAGAAAGGCCTGGTGATCTGCTTCTGAAAGCTCACAGCCTTGAAAACCATATAGAGTGCAATTCTACTCTGCCGCACATAAAATCACTATGAACTAACTGGACAGCAGCTGGTCTGGTTTGGGTTTATAGTACCATTTGGAAGCAATGGAGCCCCGGTGTCACAGTGATCAAGCCCTTGGCTCCTAACCGAAAGATTGGCTGTTCGAACCCACTGCAGGAAGAAGATGTGGCAGTGTGCTTCCATAAAGATTACAGTCTTGGAAACCCTATGGGGCAGGTCTACTCTGTCCTGTAGGGTGGCTATGAGTCGGAATCCACCGTCTGGCACATAATAACAACCACCTAGTGTTAATGGGAGAAGTCCCTGCACTGAGTGGAGTAAACGGTTTGTGCTCTATTACTAACCTCAAGGTTGGCAGTTCGAACCCACCCAGCAGTGCCACAGAAGAAAGGCCTAGTGATCTTCCATAAAGATTACAGCCCAGAGGACCCAATGGAGCAGTTCTACTTTATAACACGTGGGGTCACCATGAGTTGGAATCAACTTGACAGCAAGGTTTTGTTGTTTTGTTGTTAGTGTTATTGAGTCAGGCTGTCTGAAGCCCACTGGGTGGACCACCCCTTCTTCCCCTATGTCCTGCACCCCTCAGCATTCCCTCAGCTCTAACCGCTTTCTGGGCCCTTTCCCCCACATAGCAGTTCATCAGCTAATGTCCTGGCAGCTGCTGTGGTTGGCTTATATGCAGACTCAGCAAAAACACGGGTAAAAGATAGACTTGGGAGAAAAATAAGGAAAAGCATTATACTCCTGCTTCTTTGAAAGATGAGTTTCAGCTTAGTTTGCAAAGGGTATTGAAAAAATACTCCACCAATTGTGTCTTTTAACAGTGATTTCAGAAAGGTCCCATTTCCCCTCCATCAATTATTAAGCAAACAGGGCTCCAGTGGAGAGGCAGCTGATTCTTGCTGTCCGTCCTTTAAATTCCTCAATTCTTCCTGTTACCCGCATGACCTTGGATGAGGCTAATGTCCTCTCTGAGCATCAGTTGCATTTTTGTAAGATTCTGGTACTAAAACTTAGAGCACAGGGTTGTGGTGATGCTTACATCAGATAATAGAGAAGACGGCCATTGTTTGTAGTAGAACAAATACTTCAGTAATCGAATCATGTCACTCCCTGGTTTAAAACCCTCCGATGGCTTCCCATTGCCCTCCGAATAAAATCCAACTCTTCACTGAACCTTTTCCGCATCTTTGAATTCGCCTCGCACTGCTCTTCCCTACGCTCCATTCAACCCAATCACACTCACCTTCTTTTTATCCCATCAACCTCATCCTTATCTCAGGGACCCTCTGTCTAGAAGGTCCTTACCCACAAACTATTCCATGACTAATTCTTTATTGTTATTCCTACCTCAGCCAAAAAATTCTCTCAGAGAGGAGTTTCTCTGACTATATTCACTAAGTGGCTTTCCTATTCCAATTCCCTGCTTAAAGCTCCAGATAGATAGGTAGGTCGGTAGGTTGGTAGGTAGACAGAAAGACAGATAGATAGGTAGATGGATAGATGAATGGATAGACGGATACATAGATGGATAGACAGATAGACAGATAGATAGATAGATAGCTGCCATCAAGTTGACTCTGACTCATGGAGACTTGATATACAACAGAAGGAAACGCTGCCTGGTCTTGCATCATCCTCATGATGGCCAGCATGTTCAGGTCCATCATTGCCGCTCTTGTGTCTATCCATCTTACCGAGGGTCACCCTCACCCTCATTAGCCCACTACTTCACCAAACATGATGTCCTTCTCCAGTGATTGATCCCTTCTGATGATGTTTCCAAAACAGGAGAGTCAGACAATGATGTCCTGTTATTATTCATAAGGTTTTCATTGGCTCATTT